TGTCCTCCATGTTTCTCTTTCTTTCCTTCAAGGCTGCTTGGGGTTTGTTTTTTGTTTCACATCCAGGAATGTTTGTCTGGAAGGGGCTGTGATGTCCCAGTGCTCTCTGGACCCACTTGCTGCCCTTCCAGGGTGCTGGGATTGATGCTCCAGGCATCCAGCAAACAAGAAACGGGGGATTTAGGGGTGAAGGATCAGTCCAGCTTTGCTGGGTGTGTTAAAGAGTTTGGGGGCAGCTGTGTGTCCAGCCCTGGGCAGAGGGGCTGTGCTGGATGTTCCATCCATCCCTGCTGCCCCAAGGGCTCCTTCCCTGGTCCCTGTGTCACCTGTGACCCTTCCCAATGTCACCTGGGCCCCTGGTGGGCACAGGGACCTGGCACAGCTTTGGTTCCCTGCCTGCTCCAGGCTTTGGTTGGTTCACTCAGTCCTGGTGAAACTGGGGAAGTTCAAAGATCAGGGCTCTTCCCGCCTGTGACTGGGAATTGCTCAGCCCTGGGTGACCCTCTTGAGTGGGGACTGTTGGCATTCATATTAATTAATGAATCTGCTCTAATTTGGCTTTTCTAACATGACCCGTGTCCAGCCAGGCTCCTACATGGGGCCAGAGATGCCCAGAGCATGCAGAAGGCACAGAGCTCCTGTGGGACACCGGGAAAGGAAAGGACACACACCCGGGATCCCCCAGGGAACACTGGGGTTTGGTTGATGTCTCACGGTTCTGTCCCAAGACAAACCTTTCCTGAAGCTGGAGATAAGTTTGTGAACTCTGGAGCTGGGAAGGAGAGATTCTTCTTGAGGTTTTCAGTAACCCTCTCCCTCAGGGTGGTGGTTTCTGCTCTGCCTTTTCTGGGTTAACATTTGCCTCTGCAAAATCCCAAACACGGACAGGGCTGCATTGGTGACTTGGAGGGATRAGAACCCCAGGGAGAGCCTCAGGAATTTCCAGGCACCACCCTCCCTKTGCAGCTGCTCACCTTGCTCCATCCTACCCAGCCCAAACAAAGTCAGAGTAAATGAAGCTTTGCACTGAGCTCGTGCTTGGGGTGCACCTGTGGGGACAGGCTGGGTGTTCATTTACGTGCTCTTCCCTCATGTCAGGCTCTGTGTTTAGGTTTGAGAAAGGCCAGTATGTGACAATTATTTTGTTGTGATGGCAGAGCTAGAGGATTTGCTCATGGTTTGGATTAAAACTGGCTATGAATTGTTCTGTAATTCCCGGGGAAAGACGGAAGAGGAAATCCTGCTGGCTTCAGGATGAGGGGAGCAGCCCCTTGGCCTGGGAATCTGGAGGGGCAGAATCGTGAATTAAGCCAGTAAAAACACACTCACTTGGTTCAAGGGGCTCAGAGAGAATGAAAAATACTTTTTCTTTCTGAAAACAGCTGGGTCAGTCCCAGTACTGGCCCRGTTTGTTTCAGAGGAGCTGCTGGTGCAGGCTGGGGGGTACTGAGCAGTGGGAATCCCATTTATTGTRAGAGCCAGGCTGAGCTGTGTAACTATGGGTTGGTGTCCTGGAGGTGAGGACAGGGAGCAGAGTGACTTCCTTGGGAAGGACAAMTGTCACAGATTGGCTGAGGAATCATGAACGGATGATAACAGAGCTAAAGCCAAAAGGGACACGATGCTGGGTGTCAGGACAGTAGCTGGAGAGGAGGAAGGGAAGGAAAAGGAAGAGCTGATATCAGCTGCAGGGAGAGGAAAGCTCTCGTTCTCACAAGGGTAAGCTGTGACAGTTTTTCCTGAAGGATCTCCAAGCTTTGTTGGTTTTCCTCATTTTCCCAGGGAGCCTGAGCTGCTCATCCCCAGCAGGGACAGTTCAGCACATGGGAGGAGCCTGGCTCCATCTCTGCTCCTGGACTTTTCCCAGCCCAGCCCAGCTTTCCATCCTTCCCTCAGCAAGGACCATAGTGCTGGAGTGCAGGACACCGAGASGGGGAGAAACTCATCAGTTTTGGTGATAAATTCATCAGTGCTGGAGATAAACTCATCAAGCTGAGGATAAATTCATCATCAAAAGAGGGTAAGAACTGAAAACCAGAGCAAGCAGAGTTCTGCTGGGGAACAGCAATGGAGCAACTTCCCCAAGGAATTAATGCAATTAAAACATGGGTGAGGCAAAAAAGGAGAAGTCAGAGAAATGGGACTGTGAGAGCCATTGGGAAAGAGTCAGGAGCTGCCAGGCAAAGCAGCAAAATTAAATCAAGGGARGCAGGTGGGGAAGGACAAGTTTTATGGGCAGATGAGTTGTGCTAATTAAAATAGGTGTGGACTGAGCACTTTGGTTCTGCTGCTCCTTCCCCACTGGATCCAGCCCCGTGTGTCTTCCAGAAGGAGCTGAGGGGGAGATGCGAGGCCACAGTGGTGCTCGTGCCTGTGGCTGCTCAGTCATCCCTGTCCCCTCCCCACTCAGGCTCTTCCCATGTTCTTCAGCACCGAGGAAGCTCCAGGTGACCCTCGGGACACACGGCAGTGACCGGGCTCAGCTGTGGGGCAGTGGAGCAGCACAGAGCAGCTGAGGTATCCAGAAATTCCCTTTTATCCTGAAGGCATCATTGGTATCGAAGAGGCACSAAGTGTCCCAGCAGCACCCTCTGCACGGGCCTGGCAGCACACAGTGTCACCCATGGGCTCAGGGCCTCTTGTCTCAGGGGCCGCCGGGATGGAGGGGCCGGTTTGCCCGGCCCTAAGGGCACCTTCCTCATATGCATCCTCCTCCTCCTGTCTCTGTGGGGCAGGGCTCTCTGTCAGCTCTCCAGGCTCTCCTCCTGCTGCCCCAGGAGAGCACCCCTCTCCTCCAGGGTTCCGGGCCGTCCTTTCCGATAGGCGAGGAACTGGAAGGAGATCTGGGCAGAGGTTAAGGCTCTGCACACTCACAGGGTGGGGCCCTGGGATGAGAGGGGAGTTTGGGCCAGGACAGGTGGGAACAGGACAAGGAGCTCGGTGCCATCCAGGGGCTGAGGCATTTCCCAGCTGCTGCTACAGCTCCACAAATCACTCTCAGAGCACCACCCCACCCCTGCTGCCTCTCCCTCCATCGCTCCCTGGGATCCCATCCCAGGGGAAAGGATACAACCACGTCCAGGGCCAGCACGCCCAGGCTGCCCACGAGCCAGGGCAGGTGGTGCAGAACGTARTCACCTCGGCCCTGGCCCGGCTCCGGGTTCTTCAGGAGGACACTGAGGCCGTACAGGGAATTCCCCAGCATCACCAGGGCAAAGAGAGAGAAGGAGACYCCGCTGGTGGATTTCCTCTTGTACTGGAAAARCAGGGAGAGGARAGGASCTTGGGTGCAGCTGTCATAAATCTSTCTACAAAGTGGTATTAAACATCCTCCCACCACACAGGAAMAAAAGAGAAGAGGTGGTGACTCAATGCTGAGAGTCCTTTAGTTCCCCTTTGTAAATAAGACAAAATGAAAGCCCCACCCTCAAAATAYTGGTGGGTTAGAGGGAGGAGAGAAAAATAAATACAGGGAAATAGTCCCTTATGGACTGGCCAGAGATGGGGCCTGAGACCTCTGAGCAGAGAGGAGACAGGAGATTCCCCCCAAGGAGAAAGGAGAGTCCCCCAAGCCCCCTTCGAGTGCCACCCCAGGGCTGCCAGGCTGGACACTCACATTGGTGCAGATCTGGGGCACTCGGGAGCACAGGTAGAACACRGAGGAGATGGAGCCAATGGTGAATCCAATGATTTCAGTCCTGGAGAAAGGCTGGAAAGCAGGGCCGGGGACAGGGACAGGGACAGGCCTGTGCTCAGAGCCTCAGCACGGCCACACCCAGCCCAGCTCCCCCTCCTCTGACAGCCTGGTGATAATTACAGCTGATAATTATATTTCACCTGACCACAGGAAAATACACAGTGCAGTCTGTTATAATGTTAAAATTTTCATTGCTTGGAGAGGTCCTTTTCTATTGCCAGAGCAAAACTACTTTGCAAACCTACTTTTACTTTTAGGCAGCTGCAGCTGAGTTACCTTGCTGCACTTTCTTGCTTGTTTGATTTTCAATAATATATATGTGAATAATTTTCAATAATATATATAAATGTGGATAACAGGAGAAAGAATTAAAGGGAAAAAGTCATTCCAATTTCCTGAAAAGTCTCTTTAAACCACGTTTTTTTAGARAATGTCCATCCTATGCAGTTACCCAAAATAAAGGCTGTTTGCAAACAGATGTGGGAAATGTTTGCTGTTGCTTGAGCAGGCTCATAGAAGTGCTTGAAGCTTGAAATGAAAATGCCCTGAGATGCCTGAAATCCTGGAGCAAACTGTTCCTGAATTTTGGAGCAAGCTTTGGAAAAGTTCTCTTTCCAGTATCACCTTCCTAGACCGTAACAGCCTCCTGGAGAACAATTTGGTTCTAAAAYAGGAAGAACCCCCTAACCCCAAAACACGTGGAGGGGTCCAGGGTGGGTTTGTGGGACCATGGAGTGGGACATTCCCAGATCTCCATCCCAGCTCCMAGATTTAGGAATTGGCTCACCTTTGACCCAAGCTCATCCTCGGGTGCTGACAGCAGAGAYCTCCCTTTGAAGGTCCCTGGATCCTCAGGGCTGGCACTGCCCAGGAGGGAGAGGCCGGACAGGGACCCCACAGACAGGAACACGAAGGTGGCATTGATGGGAGCAGGGACTGCAGGGGGACAAACAGATCCTGTYTGGGGACAATCCCAGTAACCCCAACAGCCCCCAGGTCCAGTGCTAGGACCCTCTCAGGGTGGAGAAACCTCYAAACTCTCCTGTATCTCACCAAGGGCCTGAGCAACCTCCAAACTCTCCCTTATCTCACCGAGGGACTGAGCAACCTCTGAACCCTCCCTTATCTCAGCACGGGATGGGGCAGTGGCTGCTGTGGGTGATTTATGTGATTTATCTCCCAGAGATGTGGCCAATTTGTACCTTATCACGGARGAAACTGCTCCTATCTCAGCTTCTTTGGGTTTAGGGCTCTTCTTGAAGGTCATCCCCTCGAGAAGATTTCACTGTCTTATAATGGCCACTCTCAAATCCCTGCCAGAGCAAGCCCTGCTGTGCCTTATTTATTAGTAGTAATTTATTATTTTTCAGTAATTTTTTTAGTGATTACATTCAGTAAACAAGTTCTCCAGCTTAACAAAACTACATATCTGATGGGTCAAATAAAATAAACATGGGTTTAATAACTACATGTCTTTACTAAGTTAAATAATTATCCCAGTCCCAAGGAGCCGTTTTGGGGTTTGGCAGTGCTGAAAAATGSATTGTCTTTGTTTTCTCAGGCTGTTTAAAGCTTGCAAGAGCTGCTCAGGTTCCCTTTTTACTCCAGTTGAATAGAGAGGAACTTCCCTGTCAAGGCTGGAGCACTGACCCCGAAACAGTCGGAAAACTTCCCCCTTTCCCTCCCAGCACTGCCTGAGTCAGGGGCTCTGTGGTTCCCAGCTCCGAGGTGGAGTCATCACATAACTGTGGGGAATTTATTTATTTCTGTGCCCAGTGAGACTCGTGGAGGGGGGGATATTTTCAGCCTGGATACCRTGGGGGGTTGGTTTGCAGGGTCTGCAAAAGCCCCAGGCCCAGCCTGTAGCTGYTTTTTGGCTCTCCAAGGGACTCAAATTACCCAAGCCAAGAAAAACCCCATCAAGCAATAAGAGGCGTCTACTAACTGTCCCTGGAATCTCCCCAGGATCCCAGTGCCCTCTGGAATCTCCCCCTCCCTGCTCCCAGTGCCGAGGGGAGCAGAGRCCCCCACCCCAGAGTGCCCCAACTCACACGCTCTGCCCCTGTTCTTCACCCGGTAGTAGCAGTAGAGGGAGAGCATCACCAGATCTGCCAGCACGTAGTAAATGGCTGTGTACACCTGTGGGGAGAGAACACGCTGGGGACATCCCCAGGGACCCACCCAAGGGGCTGGGATGGTCCCACAGGGATGSTCCCTGCTCTCCTGGCAYGCCTGGGGGAGAAGGGAGGGTCCCGGGGTGGAGTAGGGAGCAACCCTGGGGAGGAAAAAGAGASCAGCCCTGCAAGAGAAGGGTGGGGAAAGGAAAAACCCCAGGGGGAAAGAGTGAGATAACTTAGGGGATAAAGAACGAAACATCCCTGGGAGAGAAGGGAACAACCCCAGAGAGGAAAAAAGGAGCAACCCCAGGATGGGAGAGGGAAGCATTTCTGGGGAGAAAGAGGGAGCATCCTGGGCTGTTTGGGCCTCTGGCTCCCAGTGCAGGATGAAACAGCTCGCAGCTCCTCCCTGGATTTGGGGTGTTTGAGAGCCAGCCCGGCCTCAGTACCTGCAGGGGCAGCTGATCAGCCAGGAAGGAACCGATGAGGTTGAGGAGGTCTCCGCCCAGCCATCCCAGCAGGAAATAGAGGGAGAGAGCCTGGTCCATGGTGCCCGTTCTGCAGGCCTGGTAAAACTGCCTGCAGAGCATGGGGCARAGGCACAAACATCACCCTCAGCTGATTCAGCGCCACCTGGGAGCCATCCCCAGCATTCCCTGTGGATCCCAAAGCACTTGGGGGAAAATTGAGGCCACATGCTCCCCTGGCCCCAGCTGGAACTCCTGAGCTCTCCTGCTCACTGGGTGCCCTGGGGCAGGAGCAGGGAAAGGATGATCCCAGCTGCAGGATCCTCCCCTCTGGTTAGGAAAGAGCCCTGACCCCTCACGTGCCTCTCTGTCACCCTTGTGTCAGCACTTCCAAGCAGCCCCGGGCTCCTGGGGACATTCCTGGTGTAGTGTGACCTGTCCTGCTGGCACTGCACGTGGGATATTCTGGCTGCCAAGCAAAGCCACAACAACAAAGCCACCACCACCGGGGCTCTGCTGCCTGCTCCCCTCACCCCAAACCTGCCAAGCCCTCGCTGCTTTTGCCAGGTGGATTTAATCATTCTGGCACCTTGTGCTGGCAGCTTGGTTTATTGCTGTGCCGTGGGAAGGGCTGGCCAGGATTTGGGAACAATACTTCTGGATTTGGGAGAGTAGTCCAGATTTGGGAGCACCACTTCTGGATCTGGGAGCTGTACTCCTGGATTTGGGAGCGGTGCCCAGGAACTGAGGACTGTACCCGGGATTTGGGGGCTGTACCCCGGGATTTGGGAGCAATACTCACGGGAAGGCTGCAGCAACGAAGCAAACGATGGAGCCCAGCCCCAAGATGATGCTGGCGACATCCCAGGCGTCCTGGGCACACTCGTTGAACACATCCATGATCCAGCGGGAGCCATTGGGGCAGTCGGAGAGATTCCCAAAGGGGAGACCCCTCCAGTGCTGCRTAGCCATGGAACCACTGGGATAACGCTGAGGGATAACACAGGAAAAATTTAATAAACTGGGGAAGGATARATCTGTGTGAGGGACAGGGCTGGGGCTCCTCTGCGAGCCGGCTCGTGTTGGAAAAATGGATTGTTAGTGGATAATACACCTTTATTGGCCTTGGGTTTGCAGCCGGTGGGAAAGGCAGAGTTTGGCCTCAGAGGACAAACAGAAGAAGTGAAAGAAAAAGAAATAAAGAGGAAATAAAGAAAAAATAAGAAGTGGAAAAAGAAAGAAAAGAAGAAAAAAAGAAAATAAACAAGAAAAGGAAAAGAAAAGGAAAAGAAAAAAGGAAAATAGGAAAAAGGGGCAAACGAGAAAAAAAGAAAAAGAGAAGAAATTTAAAAAAAAAAAGAGAGGGTCAATAAATAAAAGAAGCCGAAATCCAACCCAACCTGCCCTCACAGCACCGGCGCTCGCCTCGTCACCGACGCGGTCCGGAGCTTGACTTTATTTTCCCTTGGAAACCCACTCTTTTCGAAACTTGGGCTGTTTTTCTTTGCAGATCCACAACTCCTCAGACATCCACCGGCTTTTCCTCTGCCACTCTCCCAAATCCTGCCGGGTTTCCTTTACCGTTCTCCCAAATCCTGCCGGGTTTCCTTTAGCGCTCTCCCAAATCCTGCCGGGTTTCCTTTA